GACAACCAAAAAAGATTTATTTACAGTAAAATTTCCGCCTAATTTACATGTATTTTTTCCCTTAATCATATTAAAATTTAAAACAAACTGAAAATATATGAATTATTAGCACAAACATTTTGCGTTCAGTGGAACACTGAGGTGACTATCTTTTGAACCTAGAAACATTATAGTCTATTCCTTGTACTTCTGCGAGCAAATTATTTTTCTTCAACCATTCGAACACTTGTTATTTAGGCATTCGCTGGGTCACTCAGTGGCGATGATTCACGTAGAAATACTTAGAAAGGATGCATCTGAAAGGAATTTAGAATACACATCAAGACTTAGACCGTTGTAGTAAGTAGCCGTGAGTAGAAAGGAGGATGAGAGTTGCCAGAATATTTCACAAGTATCAAAATCGGGAGTCAAACTATTCTATAAAAGCATCTCTTCTTAAACAGCCATCCTTCTTGGTCATTTTTAATCAATTTATAAATTACGTATATAACCCAAATCTGTCGCATCTAAGCTGTTTAAGCCAGACACTAACTTGTATATGTCTAACTTTCAAAATTCTGATGGAATGACGTTAATTTATAAAATTTTGCATGCACTTTGTTTTTGTTATTTTTACCATATTTTTAAACTGCAAAATTTTATTAACCTTGGTTTTAATTTTTTCATACTTGAAAACAGTGATAATAGCATTATGTAGATTTTTCCTTGTTTAATTATGCTTGTTTTTCAATATTTACGATAATCAAATATTGATAAAATGTCATTTGTCCAGTCTGTGTGAGGTAACGACAAAATTAATTTTTTTTTATCGATAGTTGCAAATTTGGAGCAGCTTGATCTTCTGAAATGTAGTATTTTAGTATCCAAGCTCCTAATCATTCTAAAATTTCATACTTTAGTACACAGTCTCTACAAGAGCCTTAAAATCATTTACATATATAGTACAGCAATAGAAACAGAGATGATCAATGTAATATCAAATTGCGAGAATACCATATTTTTTGTTTAAAAACCTATTCGATAACTTAAAGGTTATTAAACTATGCAAAGTAATGAAATTTTGGGGGGGGGAATGAAATTTTGGGTTCCTTCGAATTCTGCCTTTTGATGCATTTAACCTATCATAAACGCTAAAGAAAATTTAAAAAATAAAAGCTGTATTTTATCTAGTGGATCACGTCGTATAAAAGCTTTAAATGTTATTATTGTTTGTTTACTAAGAAGTTTTTAAAGATTTATTAGAATTTTTTTTTACATCTTTTAGATTCGTAAAAAAAAAAGTAATTAGCTTCCTGATTATCAAGGTTTAATATTTAGAGATGAACAAACATGTCATATTTCGATTAATATAATGTTACCAGTTTTGTATATATATAAATAATTTTAATAAAATCCTACGTGAAATTCTAGTATTTTTGTATAATATAACCTGAAATGCTCTATAGATCTGAAGTTCTGCTGGAAAAATAAGATTACAAAGACAAGTCTCTTTAACATTGAGGTAAATGTCTATCTCGTTAATTTGGGAGATATCGCCAAGATGGTGATGGTTTGAGCGACTAAATTCTGTTGCCAGTTTAAACGAAAAATCGCTAAAGTCACCAGACTTGCCGACAATTTGGTCCATTTCTGAACTAGAATTGGTTCTGTAATTGAATAACTATAATTTATCCATGTATGAAACTGTAGCTATACCTGACCCCCATATGCCTTCCAGTAATTTCGAGAAGTGAACGGTACTAGAGATTTCTCAGCGGCTGGAGGAAACTATATAAGACTGGAAAAAGCATCAGTTTCTCAGTTATGAGTTCAGTATTGAATTCGGAGTACTGAGATATCCTTAAGAGATTCGTCTTTTAAATGCGCTTTGCATTGCGCTGTGTTTAACGTTCTTAGTAGTTTGAAGTGTAACTACTGATTGTACTTTGTGATACTGAGAAGAGCTGTCAGAGTATTTTTGTTCCAGAACTGTTTCGTATAGTAAAATAAATTTTATTAAGATATCCTCTGCTCTGTGTACATTCAATCTATTACGAACCCATAAGCACGCAGCAATTTCATTTTTAAGAAACTGAAGACATTTTCGTCCATTCTGTGTTGTAACGTAGTGATCAAAACCTCTAGTTCTAAGGGACTATCGCGGTCGCCGGTGATTTTTTATCTGTTGTAAATAGTATGACCTCTAGCTCACACTGGAAGACCCGTGGTTCGAGTCTCGGAGACGGCATAGCTAATTTGTCGTGTTTTCTGTTCTGAAAAGAAATCTTAGCGATTCTAAGGTATTATCAGAATTAAATTTGGTAGACGATTGTTCGTCATTAGTATTAGAAAGAATTGGACTTGTTCCGGATGATACAACTCATCAGTTGGGAGCTTGTGAAATGGCTCCTCGATACGAATAGTGAGGAACTGTGCATCCTTCGAATTCTGCCTTTTGATGCATTTAACCTATCATAAACGCTAAAGAAAATTTAAAAAATAAAAGCTGTATTTTATCTAGTGGATCACGTCGTATAAAAGCTTTAAATGTTATTATTGTTTGTTTACCTTGTAGGGTTTATATTTATTTTAACTAACATTTATTTTAAGCTATCTTTCCTGTCAAGCCTTTACTTTCCCCTAGAATTGCCAATCCAGAGTATGTAAATTGTATTGGAACGTGCAGTCTATTCAAATTTTAGCAGAAGTAAGTTGAGTTTAAATAGAAGGAAAACGAGTTTGTATGTGTGCTTCTTGAATCGCGAGCGTGAAGGTTGCTAGGTAGAAATTTAAGAACCGCGCGTTTCGGCCTGTGTGCCTATTTCGGCAGTTCGTTGAATCTTCAACTGCTTAATCAGTAAGCTTGCTGAATCTCAGCTGTATCTTAGAACGCGGTTAGTTAGTTACGATTTTAGAGCCTCGTAGGTAGTAATCTCGTTATTTATTCATCCTGTCATTTATTTTTAGTTTCACATTTCTGTTTTGTTAAACCGCCGGGTCGGCGTAGTTTGTGAGCGTCAAGTGAAAGCAGCTGTTATTTCTAAAGTGGAATAAAAAGGGTTTTAAACCCTTCTTACGAGTTTGGGTAATTTACAGTTCATAGCAGTCACTACCACTGTTGCTGACAAGTTGGGGCCTCGCAACACTAAACCTTTTTCTTTTCCTTTATTTCTGTAAAATAAAATGCATCATTATTTAATTGTATTTGGATACATAGTTTCTTGGATTACCTTCAGAAAGATAAGAATTTAACCCTAATTTTATATCTGCCGATTGATGGCTACAGTGTTCAACTAATACTCGAATTGACTACGCGTGCCTTCTACAATCAGTTGGATTTAGTCAACTGGGTCCCTCTCCTTTTCCCAATTGTTCTTTAAGTAGGAGAATTATGAGAAATTATCGCATGTCACAGTGCTTACTCTTGTGTTGTTAGTGATAGTACATTCAGCTGGAATTGGAAGATTTGTCATTCATAATTCTCATCGCAAAAGGAACAGCTGATATTTCGTATTTCTTGCTTGGAAGAAAACATTATTTTTCGGCACAGTAAGCAACTTATGCTCTTAACAGCTCGAGTTTTTGTAAAGTTGAAATTAATATTTAAGGTGTTTCCTCTAGTGATAATAATATTAATAATAAAAATAACAACAATATTACTACTACTAATAAAATAATAATAATAACAATGCTACTACTAACAATAAAATAATAATAATAATAATTTCCTTAAAGAGGTTTTTGTACTAAAAATGGACGATAATTCATCACATTCATGATTTGACCTTCAAAATATCGTATCTTCTCCACTCTTTAAATTTTAAAGATTATGCGACTCTTCCTTTGAGCTTTTATGGTAAAGTGGTCAGCTCACCCAGTTAGAAAGCTTAGATTCGATTCCCAGCGAAGGCACAGTTCGAGCTTCAAGATTTCTTGCTCCAGAAAACAATGTATGCACTTTTAACATTGAAATATCAAAAGCACTTTCAGTTTCCCTTAAAAGTGCAATATTTAAACGAGTTTTAAGTCCCGAAATCTTTAAACGAATTTTATCGTTTTTCGGTAAATTGAATTCTGTTGCTGTTGTTGTGTTGTGACTGATCTCGCTCGTCTGATATCAGATCAAACCCACAAAATTCGTCGTCGCAAGAAGGCAATATTGCGCCTGTCGTCGGCAAGATCCCTGATCATTATAGAGGTAACAGTGCGACGTTGCTCAGATCTACTCCAATTTTGAAGGAGGGCACTCCAGAGGAACGAGTCTGAGGGTCTACCACCCTCTTTCCGTTACCACTAATCTCTCCATAGGACTTTCGGCTCGCCTCGTATTTATAGTGCCCCCATGCCGCACAAGCGCTATACATTTACAAGCATCATGCCTTCTCAGTGATTCTAACCTGCACTCTTGGATATGGTAATCAAAATCACTAACCACTATCCCGGGATTGAATTTTTATATCATATAATGATTTAATATGAAAATAACTATAAGATTCAAGAAATTATTTTCATTTATAAGTGTTCAATAAAAGTTCATTGAGAATATCGGTAAAAGAAATGCTTACAAATATTGGAAATCATTGTGAGAATTTTGGTAATTTTTTAAAGTTACAGCCTAAGTGAAGAACTGTAGAGTGCATTTCCGTGCCCAAGCAAGATAGTAAAGCAGGCATTGTTTATCATTAACGGTTTTCCAAGCGGTACAAGGTGTTGCACTTATCATTCGAGCGATTTGTGTCATTTCACATTTAATAATTTCTACTAGACGATGACAAGTGTGTTTTCAAGCACTATCTGAGTATCAAGACAGATAACCCTTATACTACAATAACAATATAATAAAACTAAGATTAAAAGAAAAACTAATAGCAAAAAGAATGTAAAGAGAGAGAACGTCACCCACGATCTAAATGCTCTTCCCGATTGGAGAAAAGAGACATCTGACGTCAGAGCCAAACCGATGGTTTTGGACCAATCACTGAATGTACTCTGGTTAAAAGTTGGAGGGCTGAAGCTTTGGCGGTCACAAAATTCGCAAATTTTCGAGCTACTGTTTCGCAGATCTTGTTGGCACTCTAAGCTTCAGTTCCTGCACTTTATTCGTCGTTATTGCATCTCCGAATTTCGATAAAATTGTTCAGCGAAGGATGGCTGACAGGTTAGCAATATTTTTGAGAATACCTATGTGTGTGAAGTTTCAGTGTTCATTAGTTGGTTATTCTTTTAATTACTTGCATGATGTCCTATTAAAGGGGATAAAATTAAAATAATGAGTAGAATAAACAAATTAGTTAATGATACGCGAGGAAAAAATTGCATTTCTTTGAAGCTATTTAATTTCAATGATTTCAGTTAATGCTTAGGTATTACAGCCGAGAATAAAATTTCTCATTCTGTAATACAAAATAAGTATGAAACTTCTGTTGCAGTTCTCATGTCTTACCTAACTATTTTAACCATGTGAATTATTTTTCACTTATCATCAGTGGGAGTCATTTCTCAGTTTAGTTAAATACGTAAGCAATAAAATAATTCTTTAAATTTGATAGCGTATATTCCTGTGAATACAATTTACTTATATAATTTAATATGGAAATTTCTATAAACGAATAATGCACATTTAAACACTATTTAACGTAAATGGTCTGCAAAACCGATTACATTTATTTTAGACGTAATTACTGCTTCTAGCTGTATAATGTGCTAGCTGAAGCAGCGGGGATTTAGAAAATTAGACTATGAGAACTTGTTCACTTTCTCGATAACTGCGGAAAGAATTTTAGTATAGAAATAAAATTTGCAAATACAAAATTTATTCCATTTATGTAAGGAGTTCTGCGACACAAAATACTCTAGCTTTCACTACTTACTACTCTAACTGTTTAATAACTCTACTTTCTGGAATATATGAAGATGTTCTTTTACATGCATTTAAAATTAAATGTTTTGTTACTTATCCCATAATATTTACTTTGAAAGAAAACTGATCACTTAGGTACGGTATTTCAAACATTATATTACTTTTCTTATAACCATTAATGCCTATACAGGTGAATTATCGAAGAAGATATACAATAATACTGATTAGCTGATACGAAGGCTCATTCCCCTGTAAACACTTCTAAATAAACATTTTCTCATCCGAGGTCGTCTTATATGTGAGCCAATATGAAGTTTAAAATAAAAAGAAAATAATAAAAATGTTAAAGATTTCATACTTTAAAGCTCTCCAAAAAGTGTTTGTTAAGGAGTTTTACGCTCTTCCAGAGGTCGCAGTCTACAGTCTGCTGTTACACTCACTCCTGCTAACTCATTTTTCTTTGTTTTTTTAGCTTTGTTATTACGCATAAACAGTATTCTCGATGGAGCGTCAAATGTTGTCATACATTCTTCTGTTTTTCTTTCAGTCTTTTTCAATTCATCACATCAATGTTCAGTTTTCTTACTAAGATGGCTTTACAAAACTTTTTTTCTTCTTTTTTATTATTAACGTTCTGTATGTTTACTTTATTTATTAAATAGCACTCTCTTGGCGCTTGCGCTACATAAAATTCGATTCCACGGCAAAATGACAAAATATTTAAAAACAGCATATATTTAGAATTTCCTATAGACGGTCTTGCGCGCTGAAGACAAAATGATTTTTTTCATACAATATTGCCAGTACTTCCTTTGAAATCGCTGAGTTTGTTAATCATAAATGAATTTGTGTTTTACAAAATATGAAATAAATAATAAAACAAATTCGAAATTCAAAACTGCGACTTCCAGGTACCCGTGTTCTGGTGGAGGACTACGTTATTCAACATTGGATGGTTGTAGGTACTGTTGTTTCTTCACAATGCAAGAAAAAAGCGTACAGTCATGACGATTCTTCCTTATTTAATTTTTTTAAATATAATACAGGGCTATAATAATTGCGGAAACAATATGAAAAATGATCCGCTATTTATACTAATTCAGCAGAAAATGCCGATTTGAGACTAATATCCCATTCAGGGTAACGTCCCTTTTGGGCTAATAATGTTTTTCTTGGTGTATAGTTTTCATAATCTGAAATTATACTCTTAAATCTGTATAGTAAAATACGTTGTATGAAGTCTAAGAGTCCATATTACAGAGTTTTGAAAGTTAGAAATACTTTATTAACGTTCATTTATTTGAACGTATATCATTTCTTTAATATTCTTACTCATATAAAACCAAAACCAATACCATTTACGATAAATAAAATTATGCGTCTAATAAGATAATATAATAATCTATGTAAACTCATTATCTATCGGGTCAGCGAATATTTCTTTTAGTCTGAAGTGTTTTATTATTCTTTCGATGAAATTCATTTTTTTTGTGACCCATTTTTCTCTCTTTATCAGGCAGACGATTTTCCCTGAATGTCATAATATTTCGACATTATCTAATCCTATTGACTTTTATTTTTATATGTGTTATTTAACTTGCCAGTAAGTACTAAATCGATGTTGTTATATTCTTTTTACTTGCGCATTTCTTTTTGGATGTGATTAAGTTAATCAAATATGATCTCCTCTGGAAGAGGAGGTGTGGTAAAATGGTTAATCTGCCTTTATTCTAAAGGTTGAATGTTTTGCTAAGCAACAGCTGACATTTTAATTACACTAACATCTTTGGCCCCTCTTAAAATGGTAATTATCACACAAACTAAATTCAAGCTCAAATTTAATCTAAACATGTGGTTAATAAACATTAAAAGATGTATTTTACTAAAATTTAAATCAAAATATTTTTCACACTATTCCCATCATAAATAAGTGAATATATAGATAATATCATAAAAGTCAATTTAAAATTATTGTAATTATCTGGAGAGGAATCTAAACAGGTGAAATCTCAAATGAGGTCTCATAAATTAAATAATAATATGAAAGGAGTTTTTTTTTTTTTATTTCGCAAGGTTTACAATATGCCGAACTCGCTAAAATCGAATAACGCATCGATTTGAAATGCGAATTTAGGCAAAACGCATTAACACATTGGCTTTGGTTTTATAGAAATATCACATGTATTTATCTAAGCATTTTCATAAAAAATGGATACGGCTTCTCTTCTTCAAGAGGCAAAACTATTCTTTATTTGCAAACTATAAAATAACGTCCCTTCTCTCATCTATGTTAAATGCAATCCAAAATTTTTTAATTTTGTGTCTAAATTATTCGTAAGTTCAATTAGAAATGTCCTGAAAATAGATGACTGGTAACTAAGTTATAAAAACCTTTTTACTTTAACTAAACTGAACAGAATATGCACTCACCTGGTGCTCACAAACTAACCACCTCTTATGGCTAAGTAACTTATAAGGTATCGCTCCCGCTTTCCTAGCGTGCCTTCGTGGTGCAGTGGCTCTGCACGCTGGGCCGATATTCCAGAGGTCCGTGGTTGGATTCCCGGCGAAGGCGGTTGCATATTTTTCATCTCTCTGGCTTACAAAAATATACCTAATGTCTCTACAAACTTAAACGAAAAATAGTACGTACACTCAGAACGAAGCAAATCTCAACTACACGACTGGCTCCTACTTTAATAATCTAAATCAAATTTATCGGCTCCACACAGCAAAGCCGAAGTCTGAACTATCAATAAAATATAAAGTAAGTAGCTCGCGCAAATATTTAGCTACAGAGCTACTTGCAGAAACGCCGTATAAACTTGTTCTCGGCGTAACCCACTCTACACGTAACTAACTTCTACTACGAACTCTTCAATTGTGTTGCTTAAATACTATTTTCGAACTCATTGAGATTTTCCATATACGCCCTTAAATTTTGCATTTTAGCTGGAAACTGAAATCAGAAGGGAAAGGAAATTTCCTTAAATAAAAATAAATGATTAGTACAAAATTAGGTCTTTGAAGATATTATGAAAAATGGAACAACACTTCTGTTAGAAAAATAGAATTAAAAAAATATTATAAAATACGCTTGTAAAATTTAAATATGAATACAAAAATACTTTTTTAATTTAAACATAAATTATGATTTCGTACTCAGCTATTTCGCTGTATTCATTACGTAGAACTCTAAAATACATATTAAGTGTGTTATCAGTTTGATTTTGTACTAATTGTATTTACATTTTATTTTCGCAAACATGCAATAATAAAGTACTTTAATTAAGAAACAATTACAAACTAATTATTACGTTCCGAAACAGCTCAGATGAAAGTATTGCTTCCGATACTTTCATTCTGAGTGAAATGTAATCAATTGGCTTCTTACTGACTCTTTTGGCCCATGTTTCTAAGAAACCGCTAAACAATGAGACTGTATTCAGACTTGCCATCGATTCTTTTCCAATTCCTGAAATCGATTCTCAGCTCCGAGTGCACTCTTCGAAACCAGTGCATACTTATTTTTTCTTAGTTATGAAATCTCACAGAAATCAGTCTAATTTTTATGTTGTAGCAACAATTGTCTGTTCTCCGAACTCTTCAAAAGTGATATTTTTGTTGTTATTTAGAAATGTTAAGTATCAACAGATATTTTGATTTCTTGTTGTCACACATTGCTTTTTTCCATATTGTTACATATTTAAATAACCAATTAGTAATCCTTTGAAAAGTTCGATTTTCGACTTTCTTATTCAAGCATGTAGATTGCAGAAGCATTAAGTTTATTTCGGTGCCATAAACAAACAATTAGTAAAGTTCTCACTGGGATTCAAGCTCCAAAGCATCCAACTGCTAGCCAGACATGCTTCCAATTACACCATGAAAACAAGTGGTACTAAAGGGGAAAATGTATTATAGTGCTTCCCAGTTCCCATTGCGGATGACAGATTATAATCACCAAATTCAGATGCTTATGCATTATCGTCAATCGTATTATTTAGTTCGGGCACGGTTTCTAAAACCAATAGGTTTATTTCCATGCCGAAATATCGGAGCTGATATCACTAAAATTCGAAATCCTGTCTTCCATACCGTTACTGGTATATACTAGATACTCTAAACTTGATATATTCTAGATACTAAATGCGGGATTGTGATACGTAAAATTACACCGCAAAACACGTGGAAAAGAGAAGAGAAAATTCGTTACATTCTCCCTAATTTAAAGAACGACTCAAGATGAGTCAGATGGTGATAAATTATCGTACACTATAATTTCCTTTTACTTTTAA